CACCCCTAAGTGGGAAAAATATACATAGCAAGAAGTTTTGCATTAATAATCGGTCACTTAAAACTATATCTCCAATGTAGGAAAAAGTTAAAAGAAGATAAATTGACAATACTTACTGGTAATGGAATATTAAGTTCATATGTTTTAAAAGTCACACAGTACCAAGCAATAAAAGAGAAAAGTTTCAAATATAATAATTTTGAACTTTGTACTCACGTTGAATATCACTAAATGGTTCAGATTTAGCCAAAGTGTCAATAAATTCTTGTAAATTCACTGCTTCATCATCTACAAAATAGGAAAATAAGTGTGTGTATACATGTGTAAATACATACATACAGATAGTCTAGCAGAGAGACAAATGAACTCTCAAAAAGATATACATAAAAATTCCAAAATGGGATGTTAGAAAGTCTGGTCAGCTTCCAATCTTTCACTTTCATTTGTCTTATGTGACCTGATCCAAATTTAAAACAATCAGAAACAAATTTGGTCATCACTTCCCTCCTGCCTCCTTAGTTCATTGTATTTTAAATCATTCTATAATCACTTGTTATTTGGTAACAGTGAATTCCATAAAAAGAAACAACAACTTACAGAGTTGAATTGTTCTGTTTAATTAAATATGTTTGTGCTTATAAATGCCAGAGAGACAATGATGGTGATAATCAGCATTTATATAACACTTTAACAGTCACAAACAGGCACTTTAAATATGTTATCTCATTTGATCCTCCTAACAACACTATTATGAGGTAGCTGCTATTATTATCTCCATTTTATATATGGGGAAACTGAGGCAGATAGCCATTAAGTGCCTTGCCCAGGGTCAAAAAGTTAGTAACTGTCTGAAACAGGATTCATACTCAGGTCTTCCTGATCTCAAGCCTAGCACTCTACCCACTTTGTCACCAAGATGCTCTAACCTCACAAAATTAAGAATAAGATCCTGTCTAATACAATTCTAGACTTCCCTTTGCAATAAAACAAGTACATTTATATGATCAATGAATTGGATGAATATTTCATACAGAAAAAAAGTGTTATGACAACCTCATTATAAGTTGCAGAGAAAATGAGGGACTGGATAGAGGCTGACCTCAGTTGAATACTTACTTACCTATTGACACACTAATACAGAATCCTAGGCATCAAAAGAATCTCTGTATAAAGGGCGTAGAAGCAAGACAATAATAGGGAAGAGGGAAGAATGATGAAGGTCGGAGTTCTTCCAGGCTGATGGAAGCCACGAATAGTTAGATTAAGATGATGACACATAAAGAAAATAATGTACATCAAAGCATAGGAAGCTACTTCTGAGAGAACTAGAGAGTTTCCTATTATGCCTCCCCTCTCATTCTAGTCTCATCCTAGACTCCTTAAATCCTCATTGTTTTTCTTAATTTAAAAAAAAGTTATTCTATTTTTTCAATTAACAAGCATTTATTTTCTTGCTCCCATTTCTCTCACTGGAAAAAAAAAGAAAAAGAAAACTCTTATAACAAAACTCTTCTAAATACAAATAGATAAATAAAACAAATTCCCACATTGGTCATATCTAGAAACTTATGTCTCATTCAGCATTCTGAGTCCATCACCTCCCTGTCAGGATATGGGCAGCACATTCCATCATCAGTCTTCTGGACTCATGGTTGGTTATTGCACTGATCAAAGTTCTTAAGCTTTTCAAATTTGTTTGTCTTTACGTTATTATTGTGTAAATTGTTCTCCTGGTTTTGCTCACTTCACTCTAAAATTCATACAAGTCTTCCCAGCTTTCTCTGAATTTGTACCTTTTACTATTTTAAAAATTAGTTCTAGCTAGCTATTTGTTAATTTTTGGTTTTATTGATAAATTTTTTTACATTATATATTTGCAGATTTCTCCCATATTATTAAAGATCTCATAACAAAATGGTAAAGCAAAACTGATACTAAGGTGATGTCATCTGAAAGTGTACGTAATATTTTACACCTGTAATACCCTCTTCTATTTTAAAAAAAATTAACATAAATCTATTTTTCCTTCTTACCCTCATTGAAAAAAATAAAAGAAAAAAGCAAATTTCTTGTTATAGATATACATAGTCAAGTAAAATAAATTTCCCCAGTGACTATATCCATATGTATAGAAATATGTATATGTATATATCTATGTCTCTCTCTCTCTCTCTATATATATGTATATATCATTCTGCACCCTAAATCCATTACCTCTCCCTAATGGATAGTTGTGTCATCATCATGGGCCCTCTAGAATCATGAATTGTCATTGCATTCATCAAAACTGTTATAGCTTTCAGAGGTATGTGTTTTTATAACATAGTTGTTACAGTAAAAATTGTTCTAGTTCTGATTATTTCATTCTTCATCAGTTTATAAAAGTCCTTAAATAATTTATTTTTAAAATATTAATATATAAATTATATATAGATTGTTCTGGTTCTGTTCACTTCACTCTCCATCAGTTCATAGAAGTCTTCCTGTGTCATTTTGAAATCATCTATTTACTTATCCTTATAATACAACAGTGTCGTAAGAAATTCATATACTACAACTTATTCAAGCTATTCTTCAATTGATAAGGATACCTTTAGTTTCCAGTTTTTGTCACCACAAAAAAGTATAATTTTTTTTACACAAAATACATTTTTCCTTTCTTTGATCTCTTTTGGATATAGGTCTAAGAACGATATTGCTGACTCAAAAGGCATGTACTATGTTGAACCTTTATCAATTTACATGCCATCTTGGGGTGGGGGGAGGTGAGAGATGGGGAGAAAATTTGGTACTCAAAATCTTATGGAAGGAAATGTTGAAAACTAAAAATAAATAAATTTATTTTTTTAAAAAGGCATATACTATTTAGTCACTTTTGCATATGATTCCAAATTGCTTTCCAGAATGGTTATACCAATTCACGGATCTATGAACAGTGTAAAATATGCCTATTTTTCCAAAGCCTCATCAACATTTATCATTTTCTTTTTTGTCATCTTTGCCAATCTGAGGGTTGTGAAGTAGAACTTCAGAGTTTTTTTTTAATTTGTATTTTTCTAGTTATTAGTGATTTTGGAGCCTTTAAAAATATAGTTGTTGATAGCTTGAATTTCTTCCTTCAAAAACTACATGTTAATATCCTTTGATCATTTATCAGTAGAATAAAGGCTCTTATTCTTATATATTTGAATAAATTTCTTAGACTGAAATACAAATATATTCCTTGTTCCTCTAATTTGTTTATGATGTGACTTTTAAAAAAAAATCTAAGTCATGTATCCATTTGGAACTAATCATGGTATATGATATGAGGCACTGATCTTTTTTGGATATAGGTCTAATGGTGGCATTGCTGGGTCAAAGAACATATACCATTTAGTCACTTTTTGCATATAATTCCTGCCAGTCTTCTTTTCAATTTCCTCAGCAGTTTTTGTTGAATAGTTAAGTCCTAATTACGGGAGCTAGAATCTTTGGTTTTATCAAACACCAGACCACTAGGCTTATTTGCTTGTTTATGTTGTATATCTAATTTGTGTCACTGACCCGCCTATTTTTTAACCAGTAACAGATCATTTTGATGATTATTTCTTTGTAGTATGGTTTAAAATCTGGTTTTTTAGGCTCCTTTCTCTCTTACTTTCCTCCCATCCCATAATTTCCCTGGAGATTCTTCTTTTTTTTCAGTCAAAGACAAGGTTTATTAAAGATCCACCATATTGACCAGATGCTTAAGGAACTGAACATTTGTGAGCTATTGGCTACGTTCTTAAGGAATCTGAGCTGAGATTCTTGATCTCTCGTTTCTCTGGATGATTGTTTTTCTAGCTCTATAAAGTAATACTTGGTAGTTGGTGAAGCATGTCACTGAATAAATAAATTAATTTATGTAGTATTGTTATTGTTGTTACATTGCCAGCCTACCCAGCAGAATTAATACATCTCCAATTATTTAGGTCTATTTTTATTTCTGTAAAGAGTATTTTGTACTTGTGTCCATAAAGTTTCTGAATATGTGTGTGTGTGTTGGTAGGTATATTCCCAAGTATTTTATACATTCTAGAGTTATTTTAAATTAAATTTCTCCGTTTCTTCTTCCCAGATTTTGTTGATTATACATAGAAAAGCTGATAATGACTATTTCTGAAGCCCACCTTCAGTCTGCTCCCAATATAATCCTGGGTAAAAGTGCTAGATTTGGAGTCAGAAACTCCTAAATTCATACCTTGCTTTGGAAACTTACTTAACCATGTGACTCTAGACAAAACACTTAACCTCTCTTCACCTCAGGTTCCCCAATTGTGGTAACAGTACCTACCTTTCATAGGGTTCTTGTGGGGATCAAAAGAGATAACATATGGACAGCACTCTGCCAACTTCAAAAACTCAATAATTAGTCGCTGTTATTACCTTCCAGGAGAAGAAATCTGTCCTTCTGGAAAGTTAGGTCACTGCTTCTACTGTCAAAGGTGGCTTAGCCAACAGAAAACTGGGTTCAAATCCAGCCTTAGACACCGACTAGCTGTGTGACCCTGAGTAAGTACCTTAACTATTGTCTGCCTTAGTTTTTTCAACTGTAAAATGGGGATAATAAAAACACCCTCCCTCCTACGGTTGTTGTGAGGATCAAATGAAATAATATTTGTAGTGTTTAACACAGTGCCTGACACGTAGTAGGTGCTATATAAATGCTTATTCCTTTCCCCTCTCCCTTTCCTACTGGAGTTGTAGCTTTGCCAATGGGGAGGTGGGGGGGGAGAGAAGCATAATCTGAGCAAATAATCCCGTTGAAGGCTAAAGTACTCACCATCAGGTGTCACTGTTTTCAGCGTTTCTTGAATGTCGTCATCAGATACCTTGACTCCCAACTGCTGCAGGGTAGGCATCAATTCATCAAATTTTACCTTGCCACCATCAATGACATTTGTGACAACATTACATGCATCTTCTATTCCTGTTTGTGCATATGCCAACCAAAAGAACAAGACCATTAAGTTGCCGAATCTAAAGAAATATACTCTAGCCTGATTTGGGTTTTTTGGGGAAGAGGAGGATGTGTGCATTTTCTAGAGCAGGGGTTCTTAAGGTTTTGACTACAACGAACTGACCTGACAACCACTTACTTATCCTTGGTACCATAAAAAGAAAAGAATCACTGCATTTGATGAGATATCAATGAGGTGGTATTTGGCTATATTATCATAAGCCAAAAACAAATCCATGAAGAAAAAAGATGGACATGTCATGCTTGATGTGTGGAGCTCCTTTTCCTAGATAGCAATGGATCAGCAGTAAATGCCTAGTTATAAAGGAAATACTATAAAGAGATACCTGTTAAAAATTTGCCATAAGCTGTCTGATTGCACATGGCTTATGACTCATGACTAACTTTTGGACTTCTTCCATTTTATCACTACCTACTTACCTACCTACATTTGAACCTCAAAGCTTCTTTGGTTTTTCCAGAGGCTGCTCTGTTCTGGGGATCCAAACTAGTAACACAGAGGGCAAAGGAAGAGGCATTAGCTCTATATCTGATCTCTGTAGATCATCTTTGGGTAAGGTGCCCAAGTTTTGAGTGGAACGGTGGAACGGGTTAGTTCCATGGTCTCCAGAAACTTCTGAAGTATTTTAGGAACAATTTAAGCCTGAACTATATCAGATTTCTTCCTGTCTCATTCCTCTGAACCCTGCTCTAATTCCTAAAGTGGTTAAGGATGGCCAAGGAGAAGGAAAGTTGAAAGGATTTCATAGAACTAGTTGAGAAGATGATATCTGAGAATGGGACTTTTGGACCATTGCTTCTGATACAGCTTCTGATATGGACAGGGGAAGATGTGCACCAAACCAGGCTGCCAATGTGACTAAGAGGCCTTTAAGCTGGAGGGAAGGAGAAAAATGTCCATATATGTCACCCAAGTCATAATAATGCAGAGAGTAGTAGGCATAACATAGGAAGAATATCAGTGATGACTAGGAATTTTCTAGACACAATAAAAAAAAAACCCCTGTGTCTCCAAGGTTTATACACTAATATAGGAAGGCAAATTCAATCTCATTGGTATCACTGAGACTTGATTGATTGAGACTGTGATTCACAGCTAGAATCTGAAAAGAAAAGCTATCCCTTGTGAAAAAAAGATTCAGTATAAAGGGTGATAGAGCAGCATCGTATATGAAAAAACATCTACGTAGCAAATCCATAAATCAGAGGGAGAAAATTTTAGTTGAGAACAATTAGGTGAGGATCAATTGCAAGAGAAAAAGAAGCAATAGAGAGCACCCAACCAAATGGAGGGAAAGGTGAGAAGATCAGTGAATGGACCACAATTCTGCTATACTGAGGCAGTGTCTAGAGGTAGATACTAGTCCTATAGATTATTACATGCAATTTGAAGAAGATAAAGGGGTGGGAAGATATATTTAGAAAATATATGAAGACACATTTTAGGATCTCTTTCACTTCTAAAACCAGAGCAGTGAATACATTCTCGGTTTTACCGTACCAATAATTTTATCCCTTAAAAGATAGAGAAGTAAGGGGAAGCTGGGATATTTGAGGAGATATCAACATGTCTATTAAAGTCTTCAACTGTGAGAATACTATTTGCTCTCTTTTTTGTTGTTTTGTTTCTTTTCTCGTGGTTCTTCCCATTGGTCCTAATTCTTCTTTACAACATGGCTAATGTGAAAATTTTTAAAAAAGCGTTCCACTGTGAGGATAGAGATTGAGACGGAGAGGAAAACTCTGATCTACACAGAACACAAGAGGAAGAAAGAAGAACATCCTATTGTCTCCTGGTAGATAATAACTGCCAACACTGTACAGTGTTGTATATACAGTGATATAAAGAAATGGTGGGAACCTCAAAAAAGAGGAGAGTTTACCGAATGATAGTGGTAGAGGAAGGGTGTGGAGAGAGAAAGACACAGAGAGAGACAGAGAGAGAGACAGAGACACAGAGAGAAACAAAGAGACAGAGGCAAAGAAAGACATGGGGGGAAATCAGTAAGTGTCTGAGGCCAGATTTGAACTCAGGAAGATGAATCTATCTTCCTGTTCCTTGAGACACAGAGACAGAGACAGACATGGACAGAGATAGAGATAAAGACAGAGAATTTATTAAATGCTTACTATTACAAACACTGTATAAACTGCTGAGGATAGAAATACAAGCACACAAAAAAACTGGTCCTACCCTCAAGAAGCTTATATTTACATGGTAGGAGACAATGCATAAAGGGGAATTGGAAAGGTGAGGGTGGAGGAGAAGCGTACACTAGGTGGGAACAGGCTGCTGGTGAGGAGGTAGGGAAGAACTCTTGAGTTGAGCTGGAAGTGAAGTAAACAAGGCTGGGGTCCTTCATTAAATGGTGGTCCAGGCTAGGGAGTCACAAGTTTAGAGAACAGCTACTTAGGGCTGAGGTTTCTTCAGGGTGGGAAGGTTGCTGGTGTGAAAGTGAACTATTAACCACTCATTCCCTTGTGATTTTCCTTGTACAGCTATTTTGGAAGGATAATCTTGTAATTTTATTTAGCTCTTCTCTGTAAACTTTCATACCTTGCCTCCTCATTTATGTTATAAGGTCCTTTCAGTTAGTGAGTATGTCAGATATATTTTTGTATCACTCACAGGAACTATGGCACACAGAGCCGGTGCCTGTTAAGTATTGGATGAATAGTTAAATGGACAAAACTTCACCCCAAAATAGAAAAATATGGAGCAAGAGGGTTGGTATTCCTCTTTTACCAAATAAGACCAGACTGCAACTTTATAAAGGAGTGAAAAGATGGGGATTGAGGAGATCCTATAAAAATTACATATGTTTAGATTTTTAAAGTCACAAAATTTGTCCCCACACAGGAAAAGGAAAGTTTCAATCATACTAAATTTGAAGTTTGTACTTACGTTGGCATTCAGGAAATTGTTCAACAGTACCTAATTTATCAACAAAGGTCTTCAAATTCACCAGTCCATCTAGCACAAAAGGAAAGGAGGGGGAAAAATCAGACATTTTGGAAATGTGAAACTAGAGCCAGATCTACAAATTGAAAAGTAAATGAGAGTGTGGCAGTTATATGAAAAATATAAAAGACTATGTGCTCCTTGAGATCAGAGAATTTTTTCTTTTTGTTATTGTGATCTTTGTGTTCCCAGTCCTTATTACAGAGCCATGAGGCTGTTAAAATGCTTGTTGAACTGAATTGAACTTCCAAGCCTCCTCCTCTTCACTTTGTAGTAAGAAGACCAGGACCAAACTTAAAACCATTGCATAAATTAGAGAATTATTTCATCCCACCCTTTTAGTTTGTCATTTTAAAAACTTATTTTTATAATTATTTACTTTTTTTTTTGGTGAGGCAATTGAGGTTAAGTGACTTGCCTAGGGTCACACAGCGAGTGTCAAGTGTCTGAGGTCAGATTTAACTCAGGTCTTCCTGACTCCTGGGTCGGTGCTCTATCCACTGTGCCACCTAACTGTCTCTTTATAATTATTCACAATTCTGTAACTGTGAAATCCAAAAGCGGAAGGTGGAAACTATTTACTCAAATTATCCTTTGTTTTGAAAGTTATAAACATTCACCAAAAAAGCCAAAAGATGAGCCTAACTCAAAACGCAAAGCATTAAATTCCTGTCAAAGAGAGGTGTAAGAAAATAAGCACATTTACAGGACCAAAATTAATTCAGGAGAAAATTTCATGGAGACATACATATGGAACATCAACTCCATTACTGCCTTTCTTTATTATTTCCTTTATGAGTTAAAGGGACTCCTAAAGTAAAGTGACCCTTTACTTAAGAGGACAACCATCAAAAGTGCTTCAGCCTCACTCATTTGCCTACAACAACCTGTTTTCTATTCATTAAAGCACATTGAATAGGACCTGTATGGATCAGTTTATTACCAGCCATTAGGTGAATATAATTAAAACAATTAAATGCTCCTTTAAAAAAATAGTAAAAAATCCACTGTTGCATTCTTATGACATATAGCACTCATATGGAAGTCAGAAGAAACAATACAAAAATATTCTCAAAGTCTTTATGAAGAACTTTGGAATCAATTGTGTGACATGGGAAATCCTAGTACAGGATCACCCAGCATGGCAGGCTCCCATCAAAGAAGGTGCTCTACTCTATAAGTAAAGCAGAACTTTAGCAGCTCAAAAAAGGAGATACACACATTTAGAGACATCTCCTCTCCAAATGTTCATATGGACTATTTGTGCCTGATCTGTAGTAGAGCTTTTAAGCTCGTATTGGTCTGATTAGCCTTGACCCCAATATAGTGATGCTTTTTTACAACAACTAACCAACCATTAGGATGCGCCAGAGCTGGGACTAGGCTAGAGCAAGATGCTAGGGGGGCACAAAAAGAGATCCTTCTCAATTTTTAATACTTTTGGGGAGTTGAAATATCATTAACTTCAATAAATGCCAAGTTTTGATGTTAAAAGAGTAAAAAGAATTACAACATTTACGTAAGGTTTAAAAAGTACTTTTTACCTATATTATTTCATTTGATCTGCTCTACATGGCTCAGAATTCTTTATGTTACAAAGGCAGGTCATATGTGTTATAATGAAGGTTCAAGGTATTGTGTGGACAGTAACATATAAAGAGCACAACTTTTAAATCCTAGAGCAGAAAAAAGTGAAATTTTAAAACCTCTCATAGAATTTGCATTGGCCTCCTACTCCTCTCCACAAAGTTGATTATTTCATAGAAAGGAAAAATAGAGAACAGTGGCAACGAGGTGTTGATATGGGGTAATCCCTTTGTAAAGTGTGAACAACTTTCTCTGACAGAATTAAAGAGAGCAACTTCATTTGACTAAGAAAAATTGGACATGCCTTTGAAGGCCTTTAAATAGCTAAGTTCTAGAAAAAAATCGGCAGTTCTGCAGAGTACATACCAAGAGCTGTCTATAAAGAAGATTACCCACTTCCTCCTGCAGAAAAGGAGGAGGTTATTTATCTCTCTTCTTCTCTCCTTGCCCCCACTGCCCATGTAGCTTTGAAAAGGAAATTACTTGAGATACTGAGTCCACTGGGGGATCAGAGATACACTCCAGACAGACATGGATACGAAAAAGTATTTTGTCTAGGGAGGAAACAGCTTCCAGGACTGGGATCTCTGGAAGTAGAGAGAGAGAAACCATCTGTGGATACAAAAAATTGCTGCATAATGGAGCAGATCCTGGAAGCCCAGCTGCTAAGATGTCCACCAACAATGATGCTAGACCCAGGGGGAGCTTGGTGAGGAGTCTACAGAAGAGAAAGGACTTATAGTCCCGACAGTTCCAGGAGATAAGCCTTTCTTTGACTACACATGTTCCCTATATATATGCCCTATATGTACCCTAAGTTTGTACCATTTTTCCCGCAGACGCTGCATTTGTGATACGGAGCTCATATAAACCTACTGTTTTTTACTATGTCATTTTAGTGAATACTTTTTCTTGTAGCTAATTATGTCTATTGGCTATTAATGGAAAGCACACTAGTAGGGGCTAATGAGCATAGTCCTAGAAATGCATAGGCACAAGGTTACTCCTAGAACCTAAAAATATTTACCTGTCTGGGGACACAACTTTTAAGTGTGAAAGCAAATTGGAGGAGTAGCCCAGAAGAGGTGCTACACAAAAATGCCTTGTTCTAACTCTTGACTGTATGGGTCAACCAATATAGATATATTGAATACAAAATTGTGTTTTGTGTGTGTGTGTTTGACCATACAAAATCATTCTTTTCACAGAAGTATCACATGGAAGGAGAGGAGAATGTTTAGCTTGGAGACAAGACTGAAGAATTATAGGATCATAGATTAAGATCTGATTTTTATAAACGAAGACACCAAGGAACAAAGAGATTAAATGACTTGCCCAGAGTCACACAGCTAGTAACTCTCTGAAGCAGGATTTGAATTCATGTCTTCCTGACCATATGCTGGATACCTTCAGGTATCTGAAGAGCTGCTACATTAAAGAGGGATTAGGCTTGTTCTGTTTGGCCTCAGAAGGCAGAACTAGAAATAATAAGTGGAAATGATGAATACAGAACTTGATTCTACATAAGGAGAATTTTTTTTATGATTAGATTTGTCTCAAAGTAGAATGGCTGTTCCAGAAGGTGATGAGTTCACCAAGATGGTCAGTCTTCAAGCAGAGGCTAGAGGATCCCTCGATGATGTTGTACAGAGTCTTCGTACACAGCTAAAGATTGGATCAGATCTCTAAGGACCTTGTATAGTTGAGATTTTATGTGTCTATTAATCACTTGGCAGTAGGCCAGCATATATTCTCAACTGGTATACCAACCCAGAAGAACCACAGTAATATAAAAAGAAACCCTGCAAATAGAGTGTGATGCAGAGCCAATGCTCTGGGAAGGCTGGGAAGACAAAGAATGAAGGAGAAGACACTTTCATCATTGCAGAACTGGGGGGGTACTAGGAGTGTGTCATGTTTGTATATGCTGTCAAACTAAGTCACTAAGTAACTGACTTAGTGCCTAGCTTTAGGAAATGGAAAGTTCAAATCAGGGAGGAGGAGAGCGACATGTCCAGAAATAACTGTGATGTAAAAACAAAATCTAGCAATACAACTTGAAAAGAATGGAAGTGGGGGATGCCACAGGCCAACAGAAAATGAGTGCACTGGGTGTCACTTCATACTGTCATTGCATCAGGATACAGAGAGCTGCTACTAGGAGAATTATGGAATTCCTAATCACTGTCATTCCTCCTCCTCCCCCAATACCAATTGATACTGCTTACTCTCCCTATTCTCTTTTCCCAAAAAAGAGTCTCTTCCCACTCCTATCTAGGAAAAGAAATATGCCTCCCCCCACCACTCTATGAGCTAAAATTATTTTCAAATTAACTACCTCCTGCCCCCAACCCATCTGCCCCAACAGAAATGACTAAAATTTTAGCTCTCCCACTAGAAAGAACATATTATATATAATGTAATTAAACACCTTGATAAATAGCTGATAAGACATATAGACAACGGGGTATAGAAATCTATTCTGCCCTACAGGAAAATAGAAGGGGAAGGGAATAAGAGAAGGGGAGGAGATAGGAGGGAGGGCAGATTAGGGGAAGGGGTATTCAGAATGCATGCCATCTTGGGAGGGGGAGAGGGACGAGATGGGGAGAAAATATGGAACTCAAAATCTTGCGGAAGTGAATGTTGAAAATGAAAAATAAACAAATTAAAAGATAAATAGCTGAAAAGGGCAGCTAGGTGGCACAGTGGATAGAGTGCCGGCTCTGGAACCAGGAGGACCTGAGTTCAAATTCAGCCTCAGACACTTACTAGTTGTGTGCCTCCGGGCAAATCACTTAATCCTGTTTGCCTCAGTTTCTCCATCTGTAAAATGAGCTGGAGAAGGAAATGGCAAACCACTCCAGTATCTCAGCCAAGAAAACCCTAAATGGGGTCATGGAGACTTAGACATGACTGGAAAATGACTAAACAACAACAAATAGCTGAAATACTTACCATCAGTCTCAACGGTTTTCAATGTTTCTTGAATATCTTGTTTAGTTAGCTTGACACCTAAGCTCTCCAGGGTAGAAGGCATATCAGAGATCTTGACTTTCCCCTCAGCAAAGTTGGTGACAGCATTGAATGCTTTTTCTGTTTCTGTATATGAACAAATCAAAGAGCAAAATTATTATTGTGTTTAAAGAAGCCTAAGAGTTTGCTTTAGTTAACATACCAATTTTCAAGAAGAATAATTCTTCTGATTTCATAAGTGTAAAGAACTCTTAGAAGAAAACTGCCTTTACTAATGGGGATCAGTAATTGCTTTGCAACCAATAGTCTTAGAGTTGCTAGGGGACACTAGGAGGTTAGGTGACTTTCCTAGGGTCACACAGCCACCACTATTTGTCAGAGGTGGGATTTGAACCCAGGTCTCCCTGATTCTGAAGCTGCCTCTTTATCCACTATGACTGCCTTGAGTTTTTGGCAGTGCTAAAACAACCTGAGAACACAGGTTCTCTTTTTGCCACTTCTAGACCCTTCCTTTGGCTGGAGCATAATATACATGGAATAGAGCAGTATGAGATACAAAAGTAGCGTGGCACCAAATTATGGAAGGCTTTGAGTGCTATCTAACAAACTTCAAACAGGAAGACATGACAGAGTTTGAAGTAGAGGAATGAGATGACTGGATCTATGTATACACTTTCATTGGGTAACTCGAGATGATAACAAAGGCAGCAGAAGATTTTGACTTGTTTGGTTGAATTTTGATCTGAGTCATATATTAGTTTGGGATCCCTGGAAACAGTAAGTTTCTGAATTCACCCTTTGGCAGCAATTTTGACCCATTGTTCAAAGGCTAGCCAAGTCTGTGAAGCCTTCCCAGTTCATCATAGTTCACAGAGATCTCTCCCTTCTCTGAACTCATATTATTTCCTATCTATAACACTGAACACAGTAACAGCAATATTATACGATGATCAACTGTGAATGACTTCACTATTCTCAGCAATACAATGATCCAAGACAATTCCAAAGGGCTCATGATGGAAAATGCTATCCACCTCCAGAGAAAGAACTGATGGAGTCTGAATGCAGATTGAAGCATACTATTTTCACTTTAATTTTATCATTTTTTTTATTATTTTGGTCTGTGTCTTTCACAACATGACTAATATGGAAAAATTTTGCATGACTACACATGTCTATCCTATATCAACTTGCTTACCATCTCAGGGAGGGAGGAGGAAAGGGAGGTAAGGTAAGGAGGGAGAAAATCTGGAACTCAAAATTTAAAAAAATGAATGTTTAAAATTGTATTTGCATGTAATTGGGAAAATATTATCAAATATTTCCATGTTGGGGGCATCCTTCTACATCATATAAAAACCTAGTTTGGTTATAACCTAGATTGGTTAAATTTCACTCACCAAATATTGAAGCAAGGGGTGAATTGTTATTTAAAACAATGGTACAAATTAATAAAGGATGGAAAGTGAGCAGAGAGGGAATAGAAGGAAGTCCAGTAAGAAGTCAAATTCTTAAATCTAAAAAGTCATAATTTACAAAAATGTCAAAATTTACATTCCAGAACAGCAATGAAATTGTTGTCATTAATCCCACTTTTAAAATTCACACTCACTTTCATCCTCTGTGAATTCATCATACTTAGATATTTTGCTCACAAATTTCCTTAAATCCACTGTTCCATCATCTGCAAAAGGGAGGAAGAAATCAATTGAGAAACTTCAGTGGAGAGAAAAGTTAAACTTAGAACATACCATCTCTAAGGCTAACTAGCTGAATTTATCATGGATGGGTCATTTTTATCTGGGCCTTAGCTTCCTCATTTACAAAATACAAATTTCCTTCTAATTCTACTATTCTACAGTTGTTCTTTGTTGATGAAACAAAAAATCTGCCTAGAAAAGTCACAAGGATGATTCAAAATGGAGAATAAACTTTTGCTAAATTCTACATTTAAATGTGCAAAAAACTAAAAAGCATTTATATATAACCAGTTAACTTCATATAAATTTAGTTAAAAAACACATCATACTAGTCTTAAATGAAAAGTGTGGCATTAAGCTGTTTCCAAAGAGTATTGTGCTGTGTTTTGTTTTTTCTAAGATAAATGCTTTTCCATGATAAGTTAGAATTGGTAAAATAACTAAATATAAGAGTATGGATTCAACTAATAACAACCAAGTGTGTGTTCTCACATCTCCTCAGTTCCCCTACCCCTCAGGCTCCTCCCTGCCTCTGATTGGAGAGCACAGAGGATAGACAATGGTGAGTTTCTCCCAGATCCTCCTTTTAAAGAAGGTGCCCAGGTCAGCCATCTTATCATTTCCCAGTAATTGCATTCTTTTGGACTTCATCATCACCATCCCTCCCAGCCAGGGACCCTCTCCTCTCCACTCCCACCTTCCCAGTTTTCAGTTTTCCCATTAGATTGTATGGGTTGGGACTATATTTTGCCCTTATTCATTTCCCTAGTGCTTAGCACAGTGCCCTGCATGTAGTAGGTGTTTAGTAAATGTTTATTGACTGATTACTGGCTTTATCATTGGTTCTGTTCTGTTCAATATTTTTATAACATAAAAATTTAAAAAAAACTATCATCAACCATTTCAATAGCAGCTATTTGCTCAAAATAATTTAAATGTGTTTACTATAATTACAACATAGCAGATAAAGCTTATTAAATTTAATTGGCTATTAGTTGAAGAAAATCAAAGCAATTATATTCTCCTTTCAAAATATCTTGGAATGCTGCTGCAAATTGTATAACGTGGTTTGCTGTTATTAATAATAATAGTAATCTAGGGCAGCTAAATGGCATAGTCGATAGAGTACCAGGCCTGGAGTCAGGAAGACTCATCTTCATGAATTCAAATCTGGCCAGAGACATTTACCAGCTGTGTGACTCTGTTCAGGTCACTTAACCCTCAGTTCTCAAATGAGCTGGAGAAGGAAATGGAAAACTACTCCAATACCTTCCACAAGAAAATCCCAAATGGTGTCACAAAGAGTCAGACACGACTGAAACAACCGAACAACAACAGAAATTTTCGCTTTCTATAGCTCTTTGCATTTTACATAGTTTTCCTCATAACAATCCAGTAAAGTAGGCATTTTAAGGTATTAATAGCAACATGTTATCTATGAAGAAATGAAGCTCAAAGAGCTCTCTTTTGACTCTATGCACGTCTTGTCCTGTAACTACTGTCTTCCATCGAAAAACGAAAGCCATGCTTCGTGGTCATTCTTCCAAAATCATCATTAGCCTCGGCATTGATTAGAGCTCTTAAGTATTTGGAAGTTGTTCTTCTTTGTAATGTTGTGGTCATAATACAAGTAATTCTCCTAATTCTGCTCATTTCACTCTGAAGTTCATACGAAATTTCCCACATTACTCTGCATTTTTCCTTTTCATTTCTTCTTATAGAGCAATAATATTCTGTTTTATTCGTATAACATGATTTGTTCATCCATTTCTCAACTGATGGGCACCTAATTTGTAATTCTTTACAACAAAATGTCAGTGCTACAAATAGTTTTGCATATATAGGTCTTTTCCCTATGTCTTTGATCTCTTTAGGGCACGTACCTAGTTGTATCACTGGAATCAAGAGTATGTACAGCTCAGAGCTTTGGGGGTATAGTTCCAAAAAGTATGGATCAATTCACATTTCAAAATGAGTGTTTTAATGTGCCTGTCCATTCATAGATCCTCTGACAATTATCATTTTCCTTATTTGTCATCTTTGTCAATCTGATGAGTATAAGGTGAGACTATCAGAATTTTTTTAATTTACATTTTTATTATTATTAGTGATTTGGAGGATTTTTCATTTGATTGCTGATAGCTTGCATTTCTTTTTTTTTGAAACGTATCTCTTCACATTTTTTGACTATTTAGCTATTAGGGAAATTTTTGTCATATATTTATATCAATTCCATATATTTCTTATGTATCATATATTTGTCAGTAAATTTTTTTTGTAAAGACTTTCCGCAGTTAAATGTTTCCCTTCTGATTCTAACTGCATTGCTTTTGTTTGTACAAAGTATCTTCAATTTTATGTAATCAAAGTTATTGATTTTATGCCCTGTAATCCTCTTTATCACTCTTCTCCTATTCATAATTATGAAATGTCTTTTTCCATCCTCCTATAATTTGTTTATGATACGACCTTTATAAAAAAATGAAATCTGGGCTATATATCCACGTGGAGCTTATTATGGCATATGGTATACAACGCTGATCTAAGCCTATTTCTCCCCAACTGATTTCCAATTTTCACAATATTTTTAAAAATCAAATTGTGAATCCTTATACCAGTAGTTGGTATCCTTGGACTTTTTGAACACAATGCTACTTTATTTCAATCCTTTCAATCTATGTACCTAATCTCTTTCTTTGGTCAACTTTTCCATTTTTTTTAAAAACCAGAACTAAATAGTTTTGATGATTTTTGATTTGTAGTATTGTATGAAATTAGGTACTTTTAGTTATACTTCTTTCCCACTATTTCTATCATTTCTTTTAAGATTTTTGACTTTTTATTCCTCCAGATGAATTTTCTTATAATTTTTAAAGTTCTTTATAATAATCTTTAATAGTTTTATTTGTATGACAGCAAATTCATAAATTAATTTCTCTCCAATTAAGTATCTCTTTATTTTTGTAAAAAGTGTTTTGTAGTTATAGTCATATAATTCTTGTGTGTGTCTTGGCAGGAAAACTCTCAAGTATTTTATATTTCCTCTACTAATTTTGAATAGAATTTCTTTTCCTAGTTCTCCCTGCTGGGTTTTGTTGGTAATGTACAGAAAGGTTGATGAGTTCTGTGGCTTTATCTTATATCTTACTACTTTAGTTAAATTATTGTTTCCATTAACTTACCAAACCTAATGAAAATCATCAAAGAGTCTGTGCTAATTGAAATCAAAGCCATCATGTTCAAATTATTGTCATGTAACAACAAGACTGGCACTTAGGCCAGAGGGCTAAGACTGCCCTCTCTCACTAAGGGCTCTCAGCTGTGGGAAATTGCTTAGACTAGGTGACGCTCTGGTGTATTCTGATCTCTAAAAAGAGTAGGCCAGATCCTTTTCTTTCATTATTTCTGGCTTCTTCCCTACCCCAGACCCCTGGGTGAAATCACTTACATGAAGTTTATATATGGCTCACGCCTAGGGTCTCCTCCATTACTGACTAATAAAGTATTCATTGTACAATGTAGATAAGTATAGGGCAGCTATTTATTCCTCCTATCCAAAAGATATGATTCTGACAAAAAGATAAAACACAAAATACTCAGAAATATACTGACAAAGACTTAAAATATGAAACAGTAACCCACAACTCCTATTATACTCTTCCAGGAGATTGACACTTAAAACATCAAAACGTTTTTTGGGATACTGAATTGCCACTTCACCTTCACCTGAGCTAAGAACTTATCAAGCCACTTTCTCAAGGTCCATTATCTTTTAGCAAGTCAGTGGTCATCTTTTCTAAGGAAGCTGCGGTGGCAGCTGCTGCCGGTCAGCTCTAAATGTGGAACCTAGGCAGTCTCAGCCTCTCAAGCGCATGCAATTGCCTCCAAAGCTGAAAATATTCCATCCCAAGAGAGCTACTCAGTAATTTATACCCAGGGAAAGAAACCTAAGCAGAAGAGGCAGCCACGGACCCTGAGTTCCAGGTTCAAAACTGGTAACACCTGTGCTCACTTCCATGTTTGGGCAGCCCCCTCACCTCCTAAGGGGAGGGACAGGGGCAAAATCTCCTCTCCTACCACACGAAATCCAAGACAGCTCTGTCCACTCAACACATTCTCAAAAAAGAGAAAACAGAAGGAAGAGCAGATATCTCTTCCAGTAAAAAAGATGGCAGAACTTTGTGGTTTATGGGCCAGTCTTTAATGCAACTATTCCCCTTGCTCTCCTCACAGGGACCAAGGAATTGCTGTGTCATCCCAAAGCTTTTCAACACTAAGCTCAGCTCCATGTACAGGAATTCAGTTCAGCTCCATGTACACTCTAAGGGATACATTCTATCCCCATTACACGCAGCATGCTGCAAGCAGAGAGCTGGGATTCAATATCTGGACATCCTGACAATCCATGACGACTGATTTCTATGCCTAGTTTACAAGAAGGTACAGATAGGCCAATGGTAAAGAGAACATTGAAGAAACACTTAAAATGTGTAAGAAACTGGAAAAGGATGGAAATATGAAAGGTGCTAGTTAAGCCCAGATCATCTGAGAAACACACTACCATAAAAATGGTACCACACAAAGCAAATATTTAACAAAGTCAAAGAAAAATATGAATAACCTCTGCAAGTTCAAGTCTATATATGACAATTATAAAAGCCTAGACTCTTCATGGAGGCCTGAAACCAGTGTGATCTATAATAAATGGGGCTTGATTAGAGATATCTTGGTTCTAGCTTGTTGGAACTCTAACAGGGCAAAGATTCAATCCCTGCTTGTCCCTAAAGTGAGACACAGTGGGTTTCAAAGATCTCAATTGCTAAGTAGAAATATCTTTGGGTTATGAGGAAAACCCTGGAAATCTGTTGTCTGTCCTTAAACTGAGTGGATGTGACAGTAATGCCACTCAAAATGGAGGAAAAAATTATGGACAACAAATTATGGTCTTCATAAACTCATAAATCCCTGACAAAGGATGGCGCCATCTAAATGATGTTTAAGTCCATTTCATAGGTGCAAGGGATTGGTATTGATTTGGAAACCTACCTAATTCAACATGTACTAACTGATCATTTTTATCTGAAAGACTTTTGTCAATGATAACTTTGAAAATCTTTATAGTTCTGTATGTGTGTGTGTGTGGTATGTTGCATACACTTGCAGTAACAGAAAAAAAACAAGAACAACAAAACTGTTAATGAAATTCCAGCTAGGCTTACGAAAGAGAAATGAACAAGCAATCGAATTGAGAATTCATCAGTGCTTTGAAACTGATAATTCGTAGATTGGTTTTTTGAATACAAAGTTTCAACTGAATTACCTTCTTATAACTGACCAGAATGCGATAGTAATTTTTAGTCCCTAATTTAATTTAAACTCTAAATTAATTGTGATAAAAGGCTATATGAATTTGGTAGATTTGTTTATGATATGCATGATATGCATCTGTCTATGTGAAGGGTTTTCTCTCTACGCAGAAAAACTGTTGTCTGTCCTTAAAAATCTGAACTCTTTTCCTTCCCCTCGGTTAGGAAAGTGACAGTCAGTCAATAAGCATTTACTAAGTGCTTGGCAGGTACCAGGCTGCTAAGTGCTGCATATGTAAAGAAAGGCAAAAGCCATTTCTCTACATTTAGGGAGCTCACAGTTTAAAGGGTATCTTGGCAAATATTTTCCCTCCAATTTTTTTTCTTTTTTTTTCTTTTTGTTTTAATTATAAGGGATTATTTAAGGGCAAAATTCGATTAGCTCTGACTTGGTGGATTTATGAATTATCATGAGATGGAAATTGGATTTTAGTATGCTTTTAACTGGAACTGTTTCACTGGGGATTAAACTGAATAGTATTGATGGCATATTAATTGAACCATGGTTGATGGGAAAGGAGATCTGTTTATACAGAGGTTGTATAGGTTAGAATTTGATGATATTCCCTGTAGTGAATTTCTGGATATTTCCACCTTGGATTGTTAAATTGGTGAGGAAAAAGGGAGGGAAATAGATATAGAGAATCTCAATTGTGAACAATATGAAAGTTTGTACGAAGAATAGAACACAACTTACTGAAGACTGTGGAAAGGGCAGGTGATTTATAAAATTTCTTCTTATGCTTTGCTATTAGCCAAAATATACAAGAGATTATGGAGTAATTGCACACAGGAATGACTTAATAAATGTTTGCTGATGTGTGTCCCTGAAGGCATGGACTTAAATGTAATAGTCTTAGAAATTCTGGGAATGGGCTTCTAACAAAGGTCAAATTGACGTGAGATAATTTCTAAACCTGAGGCTCAGCTGATGAGGTAGAAAAGTAAAATGCAGGGCTAATTTTCTCAGGAGATGCTATCACCAACTTGAACTAATTTGTCAGAAAGTACAGAGAGCCAGTATCCCATCATGATAAATTCTGAAGCAATGATGATGATGATGGTGATGATGATGACAATGACAACAGGAGCTATTATTTACACAGCACTTTAAGGTATATAGAGCACTATAGAGTCTCAAAACAACACTGAGGTCGACACTATCATAATCTTTTTATGGAAGGGGAAACTGAGGCTTAGAGGTTGAGCAACTTACCTGAGGTCACCCAGCCACCCATGGCAGCACTCAAACTCTTCCACACCACAAGTCTGGCACTCTATTCATTCTGCCATATAAGGATATTCCCCCACGCCACCCAGACGTGGTCCAGCATCAGGAATGTGCATGTACAGATGGATGGATAACCACAACCCAGCTCAGGAGTATTGGATAAAAATGCTCATTGCTTTTATGCGGTGTGTTAATAGCATTTGTTGTTCAGTTATTTCAGTAGTGTCTGACTCTTTGTGACCCCATTTGGGGTTTTCTTGGCAAAGATGATGGAGCAGTTTAACATTTCCTTCTGCAGCTCATTTTACAAATGAGGAAACTGAGGCCAACAGGGTTAAGTGCCTTGTCCAGGGTCACACAGCTAGTAAGTGTCTGAGGCCAGATTTGAACTCAGGAGGATGAATCTTCCTGACTCCAGGCTGGGCACTCTGTGCACTATGGTGCCACCTCTCTGCCCTGATTGGGGGCATGGTGGGAGGCAGCAACTTGTAAATAACTGTGTACACACAAGATATATATAGAGTGGATGGAAGATAATCTCAAGGTGGAGGGAATTAGCAGTAAGAGGACCTGGAAAGGCCTCTTGTAAAAAGTTGGATTTGAACTTGGTCCTGAAGGAAGCCAGAGAATCTAGAAAGTGGAGGTGAAGAAAGAAACCATTCCAGGTTTGGAGGACAACTAATGCAAAGCCATTGTGTTGGGAGATGTAGTGTTGTGTGGAAGGAACAAATGAACCAGTGGATTGCAGAGTACGTGAAGGGGAGTAAAATATAAAAGCCTGGAAAGATAGGAAGGGGCCAAGTTGTGAAGTGTTTTAAAGTCCAGAAGACTATATTTGATCCTTGAAGTAATAGGGAGTCACTGAAATTTAGTAAGTATTTATAAAGTAAGTAAAGTATTTATAAGTAAAGTACTAATAAAGTAATTATAATGATATGGTGTATTGGCCATCAGGGGAAAATGGATGCTATCTTGTGTCAAACAAGATAACATTACAGAGAACCTTGCATAATACTGATGGATTCCAATTACACACAAAGCTATAAGTATAACTTGTATAAACTAAAAGTGATGTATCAGGATTTAGGGAGCTGTTTGTAAAAGATTTATTGCATTTTTTATTACTGCACCTCTACTCTCACCACTATTCACATAACTTTCCTTTCCAAAAAGGGGGAAAGACACTTCTAAAAGGAAAGGTGATTGCCTAGACCACCTTACTCTATCCCCCATTTTTATCTTTCTCAGCAAGTGACTAGAATTTTAGCTTTGCCCCCGGAAAGAATATATATTTTCACACATACTATGTAAATAACCTGAGAGAACGTTGTACTTACCATCAGTTCCAACAGATTCCAGGGTCTCCTTAAGCATGTCATCTGTTAGTTCGATTCCAAAGTTTTCCAGGGTAGGGGATAAATCATCAACATGGACCATCCCACTGGATATAGTGGAGACAATATTCTGTGCTTTTTGTATTTCTATTTGTGTATAAAAATCAAAGATTAAAATCATTAACTATATCTAAAGAAATGTATAAAAACTTGAGTTGAAGAAAGTATTTATTCATTTTCTAATGCAGAAGATCTTGGATATCTGGTCTCACCCAAGTAGAAAACTGAAAACCTCTATCACACTTAATAATCTGGCCATTGCGTTTAGAGATGGAAGGAACGTTAGATGTCATCTAACCAAAACTCTCTTTTGGAGATAAGGGAGATTAGAATGGTGAAGCACCATGGACAAGGTCACATATGTAGTTAACAGCAGTATGGAATGCAGAATCATGTCTTCTGTTTCCATGTCTTGAGTTAGTTACTCTGTGATAACCATTGATGAACAGCCATTTATTAAGTGCTAGGGCTAGGTAAACAAGTTAGTGAGACAATCCTCAAAGATCTTATATTCTATTAAAGGAATAAAACACATTCACAGATAAATTAAGTAAATAACATAATAAGTACATTGTGACTGGGGGCAGGGCTTAACAACTGAAAGACTCCAGAAAGACCCCTTGAAGGACATGAAGAGGTGAGGGAAGGAAGCAAACATTATTAAGTTCCTACTGTGTAGTAGGTATTGTGCTAAGTGCTTTGCAAATATTATTTCATTTGATCCTTACAAAAGCCCTAGATGCTATTATTATCCCCATTTCAGAGATGAGGAAACTGAAGATGTGAGAAATTAAGTGACTTTCCCAGGGTAGCACAACTAATAAGTGTCTAAGGACAAATATGAACTCAGGTCTTCACTTCCAACCTTATCATTTCACCAATACTCGCTCTCCAAAATTACTAATGATCTCTTTGTTGACAAATCCAATGGCCTTTTCTCAATTCTCATTCTCCTTGACCTCTCTGTAGCCTTTGACACTATTGATCACTCTCTTATCCTTGATACTCTCTTCTCTCTAGGTTTTCAGGTCACCACTCTCTCCTGGTTTTCCTCCTACCTCTCTGACCACTCCTTATCTGTTTCCTTTGCTGGATCCAGATCACACTCTCTAACTGTAGGTGTCCCCCAGGATTTTGTCCTGGGCCTTCTTCTCTTCTCTTTCTATACTACTTCACTTGGTGATCTCATCAGCTCCCATGGATTGAATTACCATCTCTATGCCGATGATTCTCAGATCTACCTATTCTGCCTCAAACTCTCTGCTGACCTCCAATCTCTCATCTCCAACTGCCTTTCAGACATTTCAAACTTGATGTCCAGTAGACATCTTAAACTCTTTATGTCTAAAACAGAACTCATTATCTTTTCCTCAAACCCTACCCTCCTTCTACCTTCCTTATTACTGTAGAGGACAATACCATTCTCCCAGTCTCTCAGGGTCACAATCTATGAGTCATATTGGATTCCTCATTCTCTCATGCCCTCCTACCCCATATCCAATCTGTTGCCAAGGCTGTTGATTTCATCTTTGCAACATCTCCAGAATACACCCCTCTTCTCTCCTTCTGTCACTGCCACCACTCTAGTGCAGGCCCTCATCACCTCACATCTGGACTATTACAATAGCCTGCTAGTGGGTCTGACTTTCCTCAAGTCTCTCCCCCTTCAAACCTTCTCCATTAAGCCACTAAAGTCATTTTCCTAAAATGTGGGTTTGATCATGTCATTCCCCCAACACCTACTCAATAAACTCCAGTGGTTCTCTACTGCCTCCAGAAGCAAATACAAATACTGTATTTGGCATTCAAAGCCCTTTAAAACCTAGCCCCTCCTACCTTTCCAGTCTTTTTACACCTTACTCCCCAACATGTACTCTTTGATTCAATAAAATATTGGCCTCCTGGCTGTTCCACACACAAGATACTCCATTTCTTGGCTCCAGTTATTTTCTCTGACTGTCTCCCATGCCTGGAACCTTCTCACTCCTCTACTCCAACTACTGACTTCCATGACCTTCCTTTAAGACCCAACTAAAATCCCACCTTCTACAAAAAGCCTTCTGTAACCCTTTTCAATTCCATTGCCTTCTCTCTGTTAATTATTTAACTTTAGCTTGTGTTATATATATTTGTTTACATGTTGAATCACTCCTTGAGATCAGGGACTATGTTTTGCCTCTTTTTTAAATCCCCAGCACTTAGCACAGTGGCTAGCATATAGTAGGCACTTAATAAATGCTTATTGCTATATTGATTGATTGATGCCAATTTCAGCGCCTTATCAACTACAGCACATGGTTGTTAACTTGAGTCTTAAAAGGTGAAAGAAGTTCCAAGAGGTAGAAGTCTGGAGGAAAAAATGTTGCAACATGAGGGACAGAGTTAGGATATGGAATGAAACCCTTTTGACATAAGTGTATATAGCATGTGAGGGACTTGGAGAGATAGGTTAAAACTAGATTATAAAGGGCTTTAAACACCAAACATAGGAGTTTGTATCTTTTACTAAAGGAAATGAGAAAACACTGATGCTTCTAGAGCACAGGAGTTACGTGGTCTGACCTGTGCTTTAGAAACATCAGTTTGGCATTGTGTGGAAGATAATGGATTGTGGAGTGAATTCGTAAAACAAATTACTAACAGTTTCCTTCTTCGGGATGAAATATCAAGTAGTTGTAGTTTTTATTAAATGACTTCATTGGGGAGGGGGATTAATTCATGCCAAAATATAAAAGGATAAATATCCCACACTTAAAATTTGGATGAGTCATAAAACCGTCTATTTCTTGAGAGTGATTGATTAGTAATCAATGCCAGCTTACTGTAAAGGGAATTCTGTGTCAGCCACTGGCTGTTATGAGTGCAAGTGGTTTATGTCTACTTGGCATTTTTGGGCACTAGACACTCCGTTTGACTCTTTACCCCAGCTTACCACTTGAACTTTAAGATAGATTTAGGTTTTATTTTCCTGAGGGAACCAGATTAGGATCAGAATTGTATACAGAGGAAATTTTGGCTCATAACTACATTCAGTAGATCAATTCAGGTTCAACTACCAAAGTTTTAAGGACCTTGGTTAAATAGATTGGTTAGCACCTGGGCTTCCTTATGATGTCTTAGGAGCAAAGTAAGTCTGAACCAAACTACAGATATTTCAGATCCTCTCCAGAGAAGCTAAGAACACTCAAATGGGATAGGAGGATTAAAGAATTAAGTAGGAAAGGATGCCCTGAAATTCATCTAGCTCTTATTAGGACTGTCCAGAATAAGAATTGGCTTGCCTTATACCACCTGGTAATATCTCTTACATTATTATATTAACCATTTATTTAACTCTTAGAAATTGACAAAACTTTCTGTATTTATACTGAAACTCACTCTCTTACTAGCTTCTCTGATATACCATAGCATCTCTCAAAACAGCAACCACATAGTTTGTGAATATAGGTATATATCAGAGAGAAGTGGAATACCAATCATATCATAATCCATCTATATAGAGATTTTTTGAGGGTGACTTACTTACGGTCATAGACTTAATAAGTGTCAGAGTTAGGATTTGAAAACAGGGCTTGCAGCACTCTATCTATTATGGTACACTGTATCTGGTATACATGATAATCATAAAATAAATATCAGTTGACTAACTGTTTAAATAACTAAAAGTTTACCGCCAACTTTTTAAATACAGGAAAAAAGTTTGGCATTCCTGACATTGCATTTCAGACTATATTTCCACTTTTAAAAAAACTAAAAATGAGATAAAATTATATTGTTGGAAAGGCAGAAAAAATCATAATTTATGAAGCAATACAGAAATAAAAAGGCTCACTGATATTACTCACGTTGGGCTGTTTGTGACTTTCTTTGCTTAATGAATTGCTTGATAGCGTCCTTGAAATCTATTTTCCCATCATCTGTAAAAGAGCAAAACATAATTTACATTTTAGTGGACAGACAAGCAGACCCTCCAAAGTTAAATCTATAAGGTAAATTAAAAATGAATAATTTTCAGAGGAACGTCTTTTACTGTTGTGTAGACAGAGGTGTTGGAGCTTATTATAGCTCCCAGTAACTGACGCTAGTTCATTTCACAGCTACAAGCTACCCCAATATATAAAGTTTGAACCAAAAGGCCCCTAATGAAAATTAATCTATTTGCTGCAACTATAGCATGTTTAGAGTCTACGGCAAATAGATCAGGGAAGTTAAGAGTCAAGTCACAAATTCAGGCAACGAACAAACTTAATTACTTTTGTTCTTTATTCTTCCATGAGGCCCCTTATGAACCAATGAGTGGGCCCCCGGACTCTAAGGAAGTTTCAGAGTAGAATTAAGGCTACGAGCACAGGCCTCTCTCTCTATGAGAACAAGCCCCAAACATTTACAAATTCAGTCACGGGTGAATCAGACTCTTTTCTCCCTTCCTTTGCCCTCTCAACCATTTACAATGTTTAAAGATCTTCACCCCCATCCCCGCGCCCAAAGAATAGGTCTGGAGCAATCAGCATCCTAAAACCTCTGAGAAGTAAAGGACGTGGGTGAAACAACACTCACAGCAGAAATGGGACCTTTCTTGCACAATAGAGAAAGTTGGGAAGCCATCTTGATTTCTGCCCCAACCCCCTCCTGCCCCAGGTCCCACTCGGGACTTGCAGCCCACCTGAAAACTCTGTTGACGATAAAGAATATCCTTCAATATGTTTTTTGTGTTCTATTTTTCTTTACCTAGAGGGGACACTGATTTATCACAAAATCACTCATTTTCAGAGGCATCTGACATTTAGTGAAAGAAATAATATGATGGGGAATGTTTGTTCACCTCTTGTTTCAAGCTATCTCTTAGAGACCTACAATGGAACTTAATTAATAACCTAATTTCAAACTGAGAACTGTCACGCAAAATCATTTGAGAATCACTCCCACTCACCATTTTGGTTTGTGAATTTAAAAAAATCATTCTATAAGGTCCCTTTTGCCTGGCTGGTGAAACTTATGGACCCCCACTCAGAACAACATTTTAAAAGCATAAAATAAAATTCAGAACATTACAGAAGAAACCCATTATATTGAAATACAATTATCAAAGTATTAAAAAAAAACTCCGCAAACCCTGGGTTAAGAACTTCTACTCAACAATGAGTTATAATGCAATAACAGTAAAGGTACATGCAATACAGTCTGGAATTGGTCCATATTTAGAATAATAAAAACTGCCACCTAGAAAAGTTACAGGCTGAATTTTTTCATATACAAAGGAAACTTCCAATACATCCTGTACTAGGTTTCATTTTTCAAGAAAAATTCTGAATTTAAGAACATATCTTGTAATGTCCTTAGCTAAAATACTATTAAGAGAGAAGTTATCCTGGCCTCAGACATTTGACACTTACTAGCTGTATGACCCTGGGCAAGTCACTTAACCCCAATGGCCTCAACTCCATGCCCCCCAAAAAAGAGAGAGAAGTTATCTTCAGTTACTCATAATTCTTCACCAATTAAATTAACTCCCATGACTTGTCCCCCTTTCTTAACAGAATTGCTGTCAAGCACTCCAGTGGTAGCCATTTGTACATAAATGATAATGTATAAAACTCACAAATCTCCTCATTGCTGTTCATTACAGCCTATTTGGATAGACCTGGCATTTGGCAGCATCTAGCCATTAGTTGAAAGTAAAGCAGTTCAATTCTCCTCTCCAAATATAACAGTTAACCATGGTAGTTCACATATAACATGGTTTCCTCTTCTAACAATTTAGATGTTTTCCCTTCTGCCTCTAAAAATCTCCATCTTGGGGGGCAGCTAGGTGGTACAGTGGATAGATCACTGGCCATGAAGTCAGGAGGACTTAAGTTCAAATCCAGCCTCAGACCAAACACTTGACACTTACTAACTGTGTGACCCTAAGCAAGTCACTTAACCCCAATTACCTAAAAAAAAAAAAAATCTCCATCTTGCCTTCAAGGCTCAATTCATGTGTCATCTCCTTTCCTGATCCCCTTAGTTGTCAGCACTCTCTTTTTGCCTCCTCCTCAACTTCTCAAAATATCATGAATATGCTTATCCATTTACATGTTGTATCTACCCAGGAAAATGTAAGCTTCTTGAAGGCACAGACTTACTATTCGTTTGTTTGTCTTTGCATTCCCTAGTGCCTAGCCTAGTACCTCGCGTAGAGGAAGTCCTTAATAAATACTTTTTGGGTCTGATTGGACATACTATAGGTGACATCATCTATCCTAAAACATGACTATATACATGATAGTTACCATAAAAGTGGTATTAGTGTTCTCAATACCAAAATAACATGGTATTATGCATTATATTCTCCGTGTAACTTAAAAGCTCTTGCCCCACCTCTACACCTTTTCACAGAGCCAAGTCTGAGGCTCTCAAGGATTACATCATCCCCTAAAAGCTTTGGGGTACCCTTCAGAGTTTGTTGGTATGTTTTCCTCTTCTGCTATCACCTCAAGCCCCAGCTAGCAGTGTTACCTCCATTTTAGGAGGCCAATAATCCCCCCTTGTTCCATTTAACTACTTAACCCTAGACACCTTTTACAAAGGAATATTTACTTCAAAGATATAGCCAGAACAAAATACAAATATAGTGCAACACATTGAGGGCATAATCCTCCCTATACCACCTTAACCATAGGTGGGGGTAGATTAAGCTCAAAACTTCACCCAGTTCCTACACAGCATTGGTCTTACCATGTTCATGTGCAGATGCACATAACTGCCTGATGGGCCTGCATCTTATCTCCTACTGGGCTAAGTTCCTGAAGACTGATCACTCCCCAAAATTGCTCCTTACTTCTAAGTTATCAATGTTGTGCTCGATGTGAAACCCAAACTCCAGAATGATGGGTGGCTAAGTAACCCCTCTGGATCTTTTGAACTCACATCATCATAGGTGCTATTCCCTTCACCTATTGCCAGGCTCCCTGAAGAGCACTGAGGCTCAAAGACCATAATTGAAGTGGATAGGATATTTTGAATGCCTCCACAGGCAATCAAAGATCCTCTTCTTCAACACATGGTTAGCTGATCAGAACCAGTTATAGAATGTCTACCATTAGTCTCCACAAGGAATTCACATTACCCATCATTCACAATTCTCCTGGAAGCAATCCCCTGGCATCCTCCACGTGGAGAGATGCCATCTTCTCCCTGGTGTCCTCCAAGTGGAGATGCCATATGAGACAATCTGAACACGTGTCACACTCCCATTGCCTATGATTTCTATAGATTTACATATAAAGCCCACCAGAGAGACTTTCCTTTCACTTGTTATAGACTAGTAAAAATTATACTGTATATCTAAGGATTTCATGAAAGGTGATCATAACATATCATCTAACCCATAAGAAAGAACCTGGAGATGATGTGTTTGTCTTTGTGCCATAAGACTTGGCATCTAGGGCTTGTTATTTGAATTCTGAGAGGCTTAAGGAAAAGGTTTCCCCAGCATGGACTTTGGCTAGGTCTACAGACTATGGGGGTCTCACTAGTCAAGTTTGCATGTTATTTATGAAATCATCCTGGGAAGGTCTCCTCAGGACCAGTTCTAAGTGCAATAGACACTTTCCTCTTTGCATCCACTGTTCTACAGTCCCTGTAGAACAAAAGAACACAGTGTGATACCCCGTCTGGGAGGTTCTGAGCTTCCAGGAGCTTAGGTACCCTGATGTCTATGTGACCCTTTGGATACTTAGATACATGTGTGTAAGGAGGAAAACAGAAAGAGTGCAAAGTAATAGGGAATTAAAACCTACATACCATACACAGATTCTTCTGGAACTTCTGGATCAATTCAACCATAATCCTTGCCATCAAGGAGCTTATATCATGCGAGGGGGTCTCTTTATTGTTGTTAAGTTTTTGTGGCCCCATTTGGGGTTTTCTTGGCAGAGATACTGGAGTGGTTTGCCATTTCCTCCTGCAGCTCATTTTACATGTGAGAAAACTGAAGCAAACAGGGCCAAGTGACTTGCCCAGGGTCACACAGATATCTGAGGCTAGATTTGAACTTAGGAAGATGAATCTTCCTGATTCCAGGCCTGGTGCTCTATCTGCTGGGCCATTTAGCTGTTCTTTACAGACAATTCAAATTCCTGGTGGGGTACCAGATCATCAAAACCTTCCCTGGGATGTTGGATAAATTTCTAAGGTGTCCAACAATCAAAAACTGACAAATGATTTAAAATAATCTGGCTGACAGCAACTTCAGGGCAGCAAGAGGCTTTCTGTGGCAATCACTTTGCAACAAAAAATCAGCACACATTCCCTGGGCATAACCACGGGCATAAAAAACTAAGCATGATGAAGAGTAAATACTAGGGAGGGGTCTCAAGAATTAGGACAGAAAACTTCATATGCTGTTTGAACCCAGAAAAAGGTATACTGAGATAAGATACAAATACCTGATTACCTGATATAGTTCCATCAGGATAGAGTTATTTCTGGGAAATTGATGGAAGTGCCACTCCCTATTCTATCTTAATATTCCTTCTGTTCCCCTCTCCCATATGATTTCCTCCCAGAACTCCAATCCTCATAACTATTCTCTTACCATTGTACTTTTTTTTTTAGTGAGGCAATTGGGGTTAAGTGACTTGCTTAGGGTCACACAGCTAGTGAGTATCATGTGTCTCTGGCCGGATTTGAACTCAGGTCCTCGTGATTCTAGGGTCAGTGCTCTATCCACTGCCCCACACAACTGCCCTGCCATTGTACTTCTTGTAGGACTTCTTGTCCTGAATTGTGGAGATGAGGGCAATCATAGTTTTGCCCATAATAGCTAGCATAACAGTAACAGCTAGCATTTAAATAGAACTCAAAGGTTTGCAAAACACTTCACATATCTCCTCTCATTTGATCCTCACAACAATCTCAGGAAATAGATAGTGTTATCACCTCCATTTCAAAGATAAGGAAACTGAGGCTGAGAAAATGGAATTAATGTAGTTTTTGTACATATTTTATACATATTAACTTGATAGACAAATGAGGTATTTACCATCAGGTTCAACAGATTTTAGTGTTTCTTTGAGAGCTTCATCATTTAACTCAATCCCCAAGGATTCCATGGTAGGTGACAAATCTTCAAGAGCAACTTTCCCATCAGTGACATTGGAAAGAACTGTACGTGCATTTTCTATTTCTACAGATAAATAAAAATCTGAGTGTAAACATATTAAGTTATTGAGTCTGCAGATAAAGAAGTCTAAAGAAAAAACATCCTTAGATGGAAAATGTATTCATTTTCTAAATCCATGACTCTTGGGTTTGAGGCTATATCAAAGTGGTTTGAGAACGAAAAGGTTCCCAAACTTCTACTTAGAATTACACAAGAATAAAATATTAGCACCTCAAGGTATCATATCAAATAAAAATATTCATTCCTTCTGATAAGATACCATTAGAGTAATACATGACCTCATTGTCATAATTCATGCCGTTAAATAAAGGGACAGACCTATGATTTTAAATCATGGAATCCTATGATTCCATGAATTTCTTTTTCTCTTGAGACTGGTTGGTTAACAAACAATGCCAGCTAGTTACAAAGTGAATGCTGCAAAGAGTTTCATGATAATCTATGATTATTCACAAACAGATTTCAAAGGCCTTGTGGCCCAGTGTGTTTGGGTGGGTTTTGGGATGGTTGGGATACTTTCTCCCCTTCCCTCTTGATTAGACTGTGAACCTTAAGAAATGGAAGAGCTACAGATTTCCCTATTTCCAAGTTAGAAACAGGATTGAATAGTAGAATAAGCTTTGGCTCACAGCATATCCATGCTTGGCCAGCTAACAAGATTTTAGGGAGCCTGGTTAAAACCTATGGTTTTTCAAGGCCTTCCAAGGATTCTGAGATATTTTATAAGTATTTCAAGTATGAACCACACCAGATCTTTTCTCCACTGTCCAGTGTGGCTAAACACCTCTAAAGAAAGGCAAAAAGTACAAGTAAAGCAAGTTATGAAATAGACCTGATTCCCATGGAGTTCCTCCAGAATGGAACTTGGCCTGGGAATGTATATGATGACCCAAACAGGAAAAACTTCTCATTATTTTCCCTGGTCTTAATCTGAGTCCCTAAATTGGCTCTACAATCCCTGAGGGTCTATGAATGGCATTACTGGGCAGCAAACTTTACTCACCTTTCAAAGCCTAGCTCATCTCCTTCCCCCTCCACAAAGCTATTTCTCTTTCTTTGTGTTCTGCATACCTGGTCCAAACTAACAAATGGACAATAAATTTTGTCCACTCTTCAAGGTCTAGTTAAAACTCCTTCCTCTATTAAGCCCTTCCTAAATTACTCCATCCCACAGAAATCTCATTTTTTTTTGTAAGGACCTAGAGTCCTAAAAAGTCAGGATAAATGAAATTATAGATTTGTCAGTGGAAATAACACATATCCTCATATATATGAGTATATGACTTGACAGACAAGGAGGTGGTCACTGTCACTAACCATCAAGTCGGCTGATCTGACTGTCATCATAGGATACTGCTTCTGTCATTGATAGTAATAGCCAGCTCAGCCACCATGATGATTGTTGATGATGAGTACCCACATATTCTTTCTTTTTCTCTGTTCAGAATTTCATTCATGAAAATTTACCATCGCTCATTGAGCTAAATTCCCCTGAAGAACTTTAGCCCATAAGCTCCTATTTTTTCTCTGAATTCTTTTAAATTTGGACTCCCCAAATCTTTAATGCTTTCCCTTTCCTTCCCTCCCAATCCTCTCCTCTCATTTTCAAGACCCTCTATGAAAAATACTTATTATTATTTATACCACTCACTGGGCAATTTTTCTCCCAATACTCCCTTATATTGCCTTGTGAGATTTCTGGTAACATTATCTTATACAGTTATTCAATTTCTGAAAAGGTAGCTTTTCTGAATCTACCCCTTATTCTTTTGAGCAATGATCGTTTTGGGCAGGGACCACAATTCATCCATCAACCAAATCATTCTATATACAGGAGCTACACAAAAAATTTGTTTGACCAATTTAGTTCACCAGAAAAGTATTTTTTTTAAATTAGCAAGGAATTTGACATTTCTAGATTTCCATGTAAGACAACACTCCCATGTTTAAAAGAGCTGAAAGTGAGGGAAATGAAGAGTTGTGGAAAAGATATATAAGGTTAAATTTCCATTTAAGTCACAGAGTGTGTACCAACACAAAAATGGGAAGGTTCATTAATACTCACGTTGGCCCTTTAAAGCATCTTTGCTTGAAATCAAGTTGTTGACTATGTCCTGAAACTTCACATTTCTCTTTTCTAGAAAAGGGGAAAAAAACAAAAACAATTTAGACTATGGAGAGACAGTTATACTTTATAAACTTGGCCCCACACAGTACACTGTAAAGTAGAAGACTGGCATTTGTCCTATGAACTGCCTGAGGTACTTTAGGAATACTCTAAGTTTGAACCACACTAGATCCTCTCCTCACTGTTCAATGTGTCTAAGAGCCTCTAAGGAAGGGAAAAGGTATGAATGAACCATGTTATGGAGCTCCCCTCATTCTTATGGGGAATCCTGCAGAACAAACTTTGGCCTAGGAATACTATTGAAGATTCAGGCAGTAAAGGCTTCCTAGGTCCCAATATGGCCCTAGAGTCCCTGAAGGTCGATTATTGGTATTACTAGGAAGCAAATTGCCTTGCTCATTTCTTTCCTTCTCTATAAAACAACTTTGCTTTGTGTTCCATATGCAGCCCAAATAAAGTTATCACAGAAACTGACTTGAGAATGATCATCATTTCTCACCACTTCAGTTTTTTTTACATTTTTAATCACTTCTCAATCATTTATATTTCCATATTAGTGAATCAACAGAATCACAATATGAGTTGGAAAGGGCCAGCTGGGTAGCTCAGTGGGTAGGACACTGGGCCTGGAGTCAGGAGGGCCTGAGTTCAAATCTGGCCCCAGATACTTACTAGCTGTGTGACCTTAGGCAAGTCACTTAATTCTGTTTGCTTCATCCTCATCTATAAAATGAATTGGAGAAGGAAATGACAAACAACTCTAGTAACTTTGCCAAGAAAATCCCCAAATGGGGTCATGAAGAGTCCAACACAACTGAAAAATGGCTGAACAACAACGAAATGTGCCAAATACTGCTGAGCAAGTGTTCTGATCTCAAAGTAGCTCATACTCTTTTTTTTAATGATTAATTTTTTTATTTTCGATTTTCAACATTCACTTCCATAAGATTTTGAGTTTTAAATTTTCTCCTCCTCCCTGCCCCCTAAGACAGCATGCAATCTGGTATAGGCTTTACTTATACATTCACATTAAGCATATTTTCCCATTAGTCATGATGTAAATAACAATTAGAACTAATGGGAGGAGCCATGAGAATGAAGCAACAAAACAAAACAACAAAGGAAAAGGAGAGCAAACAGTATGCTTCGATCTGCATTCAGACTCCATAGTTCTTTCTCTGCATGTGGATAGTATTTTCCATTATGAGTCTTTTGGAGTTGTCTTAGATCCTTGCGTTGCTGAGAAGATCCAAGTCTATCAGAGTTGGTCATCGCACAGTATGGCTGTTACTGTGTGCAATGTTCTCCTGATTCTGCTCACTTCACTCAGCGTCAGTTCATACAAGTCTTTCCAGGTTTTTCTGAAGTCTTCCTGCTCATTACTTCTTATAGCACAATAGCATTCCATTACATTCATATACCACAACTTGTTCAGCCATTCCCAAATTGATAGGTATCCCCTCAATTTCAAATTCTTTCACACCACAGAAAGAACTGCTATAAGTATTTTTGCCCATGTGGGTCCTTTTCCCATTTTTATGATCTCTTTGGAATACAGCCCTAGAAGTGGTATTGCTGGGTCAAAGGGTATGCACAATTTTATAGCCCTTTGTGCATAGTTCCAAATTGCTCTCCCGAATGGTTAGATCAGTTCACAACTTCACCAACAACGCATTAGTGTTCCAATTTTCCCACATCTTCTCCAACATTTATCATTGTCCTGTTTTGTCATGTTAGCCAATCTGCTAGGTGTGATGTGGTACCTCAGAGTTGTTTTGATTTGCATTTCTCTAATCAATAGTGATTTAGAACATTTTTTTCATATGACTATAGATAGCTCTAATTTCTTCCTCTGAAAACTGCCCATTCATATTCTTTGACCATTTATCAATTGAGGAATGACTTGTATTCTTATAAATTTGACTCAGTTCTCTATATATTTGGGAAATGAGGTCTTTATCAGAGGCACGGGTTGTAAAAATTGTTTCCCAGTTTTCTGCTTCCCTCCTAATCTTGGATGCATTGGCTTTGTTTGTGCAAAAACTTTTCAATTTAATGTAATCAAAATTGTCTATTTTGCATTTCATAATGTTCTCTATCTCTTGTTTGGTCATAAATTCTTCCCTTCTCCATAGATCTGAAAGGTAAACTATTCCTTGCTCTCCTAGTTTGCTTATAGTCTCACTCTTTATATCTAAATCCTATACCCATTTTGTCTTTATCTTGATATAGGGTATAAGATGTTGGTCTATGCCCAGTTTTTGCCATACTATTTTCTAGTTTAGCAGCTCATATTCTTACTGGGGGACATGACACATAGAAGCAGGATGGATGGTCCTTAAGTTCAGAGGACAGGAATAGAGCACATGTTAAAGCCTGATGGTTCACCATCTTCCTGGAAGGACTGTAGTTGATGACTCCCAGGCTCATTCAGTCAATGTAAGCAGCCATGTTTGCTCGGGGGAGGAGGATGGTAGAAGACAGTAAGAATTTTGCTTTAGGGTGAGTGGAATGGGATTCTGGATTCCCTCCTGCAAGGGTGAGGATGAGAGAAGGGGGCTCTCTGTGTGTGTGTGTGTGTGTGTGTGTGTGTGTGTGTGAAGTGAATAAAAAAAGTAAACTGTCAAATATATTTTATTTTTAAAATGACAAGATAGTGATGCAACAGAGGCAAAATCTAAGTAAAGAGCATCTGAATAACAGTGAGAGAAGGAAATGAAGTGACTAAAAGTTAAAATTCTTCTGTAAAGTTTTTCACAAAGAGGAGATTACAGTTACTGTTATCATTAGGGTTCAGCAGAATTCTTCCAATTGCAGACCAAAAGTATGAGCTACATAAAAGTCTGTGTTAGACGAGAGAAACCAGACAGAAAAGTCCCTCTCTCTCTGGTGATGGCATCTGGGCTCCTGGCCCAAAGAACAACAGAGCGCACTAGGGCTGTTTTCCATGGCAGTTGGCAGCAATGGTTAGCAAGAACAACAGACTTCTGAGGTCTGTGCTTTAGCAAGAATAGAGGGCGAGGGGAATGCACCAGAGACCTGAAGGGATTGTAATGAAAAGAGTAAAGCATAAAAGGAATGTGCTTTATTTTGGAAATCTACACATTTGGAAAGTACAAATTGGTCAAGGACAGGAAAAGCAACTCACAACTCTCCCACTAGATTGTCAAAATGAAATGCTATTTGAAAGAAAGGAAGAAATCCTTTAAAAGAAAAACAAAAGAATAACATGAGGAGAGACAGAAATCTCAAGCTGTCATGATGTTGAAGGGTGAAAGAATGTGATGAGATAGGAGAAAAGCAGGATGTCTGGACTGTACGAGCTTTAAGGAAGGAAGCTATGAAACAGGTTAGATGCTCCAAAGAATGATGATAATGATTTACAAATGTTTCCAGGGGACAGCACTGGACACAGGTCAGAGACAAGTCTTGACAGACGGTGATTCCCTATTGAGAGGTCTCAAGATTTATCCCTTAGGCCCTGGTGGGAATAGCCTAGAACCCTGAGCCTAAGAGTCCTGGGAATAGCATGCCTTCACACACACACACATACACACACACACACACACACACACACCACACACACTCACACACCCACACCCACACACCCACACACACACTGAGGCCACCAGCTCTGTTTCCAAGTTGGCCTTTGCAATCATCATTAAAAGGAGTAATTCTGGTGGAGAAGGGGCTCCCATCCCTCCCACCACCAATACCAACTCTGTCCAACTGCCACCAACTGGCATATGAGTCAGTCTACCTAATGTAGTAAGGTACCCTGAGGAAGAGATAGGAGGCAACATGTTCTGGGCAGGTACAACTATTTAAATCACGATCTCCCCTCAGACCCCAGTGGAGGCATACCAAGATACAGAGCCTAAGAGCTTTGAGAATTCAGCACTCCCAGACTACTGGCCTTGCTTCCAGCCTAGCGTCTGCAGTCATAGTTCAGGGAAGTAACCCCTGTGGAGATGAGACCTGGCAACTTCCTCTGATGTACTATAATTACCACCTCCTCAGAAGCCACAGCTAATGAAGACCCAGAAAAGAAAATTCTTGTTACTCAAGTTTCTGGCATCATCAAATGGTTCAACATCAGAAGCCAAAATGGTTTTATTAATGACATTAAAGAAGACGAGTTGTGTAATATATTAAATGACATTAAAGAACATGCACTGTGTCTTGTTTGGTTGTTTCAATTGTGTCCAATTCTTCATGACCTCATTTGGGGTTTTCTTGGCAAAGATACTGAAGTGGTTTGCCTTTTCCTTCTCCAGTTCATTTGACAGATGAGGAAACTGAGGGTTAAGTGACTTGTCCAGGGTCACACCTAGTAAGTGTCTGAGGCCAGATCTGAACTTAGGAAGATGAATCTTTCTGACATCAGGCCTGGCACTCTATCCATTATGCTACTAAGCTGCTTTTTGAAAGTTGTTTTAATTCAATTCACAAGATTTCACAATCAACCATTATTGCACAGTTGTTACTGCATTATAACTGCATTCCATTTTAAAGTCACAGACATTGCTGTACTATCATTTGTACACTCACACACATTTAGAGTATTACCTCTGTGGAATTCATTGCCTCATTCCACGAAAGATTGTTTCACCTAACATTGTGATCTTGTCTAGCTAATTAAAGACATTAGGTGGTATGTGCCTGTGAGATGGTGTTTTATACGTCAGGGTGGGAAGGGGAGGAAAACTTCATCAACTTCCTCCCCCTCATCCCTTTCTCCCTACCTCCTGATATTGGCATACCGTCTTCCTATTTCACCTTCCAAAATGAAGAAATATAAACACAGAGCCATAATCACCCAACACCCAACTTTTAACCTTGTTGGGATGACTGTAATTTTAATTATTCTAGCTGAAAGAATATACATGTTCTACACAAACAACCTGAGATTTAGCTACAATACTCACCATCGGGTTTAATGGGTTTTATAGTCTCTGTAAGCTTTTCTTTACTTAACTCGACCCCCATGCTCTCCAGGGTAGGCATCACATCAGCAATGTTGACTTTCTCATCAACAATATTAGTAACAATATTTTGTGCATTTTGTATTCCTATAGGGATATAAAAATCAAAGTGTGAAACTAGTTGGTTGATGAGCCTAAAGAAACCCTTAATTTGTGGAGTGGGGCAAATCTGGACTTCAATAAAGTATATTAATTAAATAGTTCATGTGCTCCAGCTGTGTACCGTTAAAAAAATCACTGGTTTTTGATGAAATATCAAATTAATCAATTAATCACTGTCACAAAAACAATGTTAATCCAGACCAACAATAATAGGGCATGGGACATTTAAAATATGGAGTATGCCTAAAAGCATACTCCTTAGCTTTTCAGAGCGGCTTATCAGAAATCAATGCCAGTTGTAAACTGAATGTTTACAAAGAGATTCCCATGACATTCGATTAGTAGTAAGCTGATCTACTTCAAATGTTTTATGGTCCAGTGTGAATTGTAGGCCATTGGACAGCACTTTCTTCCCCTTGCAATCTGTCTATGCTTTTAACTTCAAGGATCTCCTAAGGTTGCCCTACTCTGGGAGTTCAGGTAAGAGCCAGGATTATACGGAGAGCCAAGCTTTAGCTCATAGGCTTCCTTTAGAGGATCCATTCTTGGCCAATTGACATAATTTCCAGGGCTTAATTGAAAAGGCTGGTTGCTGAAAGTTAATGTTGCAGAATTTTAAAGAACAAGAATGGTGCCAAAGAAAAGATATGAGAAGAGACTGCTTCCCACTCTTTAGCAGAGGTAAGAAGTCGATGGATGTGGAACGTTGTACATATTTTCAGACTTTTTCAATATACTGATCAGTTTTACTGATATTTTTTCTCTTTTTTCTTTAAAAAAATTCTTTGTTAGATGGGGTGACTCTCTGGGAAGCAATACGGGAAGAAATTTAGGTAACGTGGGGAAAAAGGCATCAACAAAAATATTTTCAAAAGAGAAAAGAAAAGATTGGTTCCTGGGCCTAGATTTCTTTACTATTTAAGGAACACTGTAAATCTAAACCAGGCTAAAACAAAACCAAAAACCTTAAAACCAGACTAGATACTCTCCCCTCATGAACTAGAAGAGATAAGAAACTCTAAGGTAGAGGGATGCACATCAGCCATGATACATCATTAAATTGACCTCATTGCCATGGAGATCCTCCACAGCAAGTCCTGGCCTGAGAATGGAAATGCAGACATAAAGAACAAATGGCTTTGCTTATCCTGGTCCCAATCTGAATCCCTAAGTTGGCCCTTGAATCCTCTTGGCGGTTTAGGAATCACATACTTTAATTAGCAAATTTTGGCTGTGTTTCAAGGCCCAGATCAATTACCTCCTCCACCATGAAATCTTCTCAGTTCATTTCCACTCAAAGAGATTTCACTTTTGGTCTACATCACTCATTAGGCAATCAGCCTTATAACAATTCTTGTAACTCCATTTTATACATTTATTTGATTTTTTTATTATTCTTTAACTTTTTTGGGTTTATGCCTTTCCTCTCTAACTAGAATGTAAGCTCCTTGAGGGCAGAGAACATTTCTGATACATCTTCTACAGTACCTAGTAAGGTACCATTTATACAATATTTGTTCAGTGAATACTGGCCGATTGATTGACTGAACCAATAAATCAACAAGGATGTTTAAGCACCTACTATTTGCCAGGCACTAGGTAGGCACTGTGAATAATCCAAAATTCATCATTAAAATAAAGAATATACAGCAAGACACCTAGCATTTATAGTTTTTCATGTAAGATTATAAGCCCATTGTGAAAAAGCGAATACTGAGAAGAAATGGAGATGATGAAAGCTCCATAAAATGTTTTCCCCATCTGTATAAATTTGTAATATATGCCCCAATATAGAGAAAAGGAAACAGTTATACTCACTCTGGCTCTTTGCAAAGTTTTTTGTCTTCATCAATTTCTTGGTAAAGTCTTTAAATTCTATTTTTCCTTCAACTATGAAAGAGAGGAAGCACAATTAAGATAGTCCACTGGAGATACAAGTAGACCTTACAAACAGGATAAAGTGGAAAAGGTATCCCAGGAAGTAATTTGAGAGTCATTTCCTTCTAACAATTTGATTAGTGCCTTTCTTAAATTATCTCTATCTTGGCTCTGCTCCCCCTCCCCCTTTCTCTCTTTTTCTTTTTTTTTCCTTTCCCTCTTTTCATCCCTTCCATGCTAATATTCTTCTCCTGCAAGCTCTTACCCTATGGCCCTGTACTCCTGATCTGTAAAAAGTTTGCCAAATCTACACACACTCAAGCAGCCTGTAGAAACTCTGAGTCACATAGATTCTGAATGGAGACATAAGGTAGTAAATTGTCTTGTTCTTCTGCAACTGCTGATTTGATTATCATTCCTTGAGCAAGATATAGGGAGATGAGAAAGTGCACAGGCAACAGCCAAGGTAGAGTCCTTGGTCCTACCTGATGGTCAAAGGCAGGGGTTGGTCAGTGGTTGTTGATTAACAAGGCCACATGACCACACTGTCTTGGTTTGCTAGGAAATTTTCTTGATATTGGCATTTCTCTGTGTGTCTTCCCCTATATGCTGACTGACTGAAAATAAGACAGGAGATAGGTGGTATTATGTGTCTCTTTTTATTCCCTGAGCATCTTGTAAGCTGTGACCACACTTGATACCTTCCCTCCCCTACAATGATACTGAGTGGGGTCAATTTTCAAGTAAGGGCAAAATATGTGATAATAAATGCATGGAGATGCAGCCCAGGCTGCATTTTTGAAAGGGTAATTATTCTCACACTACTCTATCACCTGAAGGGCATACTTGAAAACCTCAAATATAACTTTCAAATGACAATGGAAAGCATCCTTCCTTCCCTTGTCTCTCTGGAGAACCTGGTAAGGCAATTTACACACAGGCAGAAGTCTAGGAATTATAGCCTATAAATGCCAGGGTATTATCTCAGCAAAAGCATTTTTTTTCCCTTTTGCCTTGTTCAGAAGAGTTATGTTTATAGAAATGAGAGTCAATTGGTTATAGGGAAGGATCCTTAAAGCTTTGGGTCAGTAAACAGATAATAAGGCCTTTTACTGACCTAAGTCCTGAGATTAACAGACACACATAGCCTGGATCTAACCATTATTCCCTTTCTATGATCAACACTCTTAATATCTCTCTTTATCTGATCATAACCTCCCAACATTCCTTTTCTCCCCATGTCTCAGAGCTCCTATACCTACTCTTTGCCTTCATCATGACCTCCAGTTTCTCCATCTACGATACTTTCTCAGCCCATTACCTCTGTTCTGACTTCATTTTCTGCCCTTCTCAAACTCAACCAACCGTACAGTTAAATCACTTTAACACTGCACTGTCCTCTATGCTCAAATCCCTTACCTCCATGTTTTAATCCCTTTCACTCCTTTCTCAAACACCCAATCTGTTCACCTCCTCCATTCCCATTCATGTACTACTAAATAGATCTAGAGGAAGTCCCACAACCCAGATTACTGAGTACACTACAAATTTATGTTATCTAACGTCAACTGGGTCTTCACTATAGTAAAGGAAGTCTCTTTAAAGATTTCCTGTAGACCTATACCAATCCCCACAGAAGCTGCTCCAAAACCTTTTTTCTCTCCTCAAAATTCTATACCTTACCCCAACCTCTTCCTACACTCTTTCAGCTTCTTTACTGAAAAATAAAATGGAGGCATTTTTTCTAAGTTCTCACTTCTCTTTTCTCTTCATCTCTAAACTCCTTGATATGATGTCCCATTTTCTCCTCTTTTCCTCCAGGGCCTGATAATGAAGTAACTCCTCTTTCTGCCAAAGGCACCCCTTGTACTCATGCCTCTGATCCTACCATCCAGTAGACTGTCCCTTTAATCATCTCCCGGATTACTAATCTTCAATCCTAACAGCCTTTAAATATGCCCAAGTTCCCCTAATTCTTAAAAACCTTTCCTTTATACTACCATTTCCTATATTTCTCTGCCCTTTATCAACCAAACTCTGAGTAAAAGCTATCTGCGTTTGCTGTCTCCATTTCTCTCACCCACTCACCCCTTTGCAATCTGGCTTCTGATCTCATAATTCAATTGAAACTGTTTCCTCAAAGTGATAAACAATCATAAAACCATAGTTTTATTACATTGGAGATTGAGTACAATCCATTTTTCCAAGTCTAGCCTTGATTATAGTTCATAGGTTTTCAGTGAGGTAGTGAAGTAGATAGAGGGCTGCCCTTGAGTCAGGAAGACCTCAGTTCAAATCTAACCTAAGACATATTTCTAGCTGTGTGACCTTAAATTCCATTTGCTTCCAGGGATAATAATTGCACCTATCTCCTCAGTGGGTTGTTGGGAGAATCAAATGAGATAATATTTGTAAAGCACTTAGCAATACCTGGCACTAGTAGGTACTATATAAATGCTAGGTATTAAATCAGGTGAGTTCCCAGACCATTCAAGCGTATTTATTTATCTCTATCTTGTGAATAAATTTCTTAACCTTTCATGATATGTGGCATTGTGTAAAATCACGTTGCAGTATTCCAACACCATTTGGGAATTTCTATAATTTTGGGTGAAAAAATTGCTTCTGTGGGCTCTATCCCATGGATAGTGAGCCAAATTCCCCTGGCAACTTATGGATCCATATGCAGCTCAACACTGAAAGGCTTACATCATGAGATTGTCCTCCCAAGAAATCTCTTTCTTGGTTACTGAGCAAGACTAGATGACTCAGTAGATTTTTAAAAGGGAGTTGATTCCTCTCTCTTCCACTTTCCTTTGGCTCAGCAGGTAACAAGGATCTCTACCTTCCAGAGTTTCCCATGAGGGGTGAGGGAAGAAATTTCCTTCTTCCTGCCTAAGTAGAAATTACAAATTGCAAGTCCATGACAGCTAAAGCATATGTCATAGCATAGGAGATTCTGAACATAAGCCTGGGCCTTTTCTGTTTTTTCTGTTGGTTGCTTCTTCTGGTGTGTGTGTATGTATGTGTGTGTGTGTGTGTGCTTTCCCCCCAAGCATAAGAGATTAAGCAATGACCCTGAAATGGATGTTTCCCATCTTGCAAAC